TCGAAGTTACCACCTTCGTGTCCAGCATACCCTGGCCGGCCGCACGCGTCCCGCCATGCGTGCCCTTGTGATGCCTGCCGTGGTGGTCCAGCGATCCTGTCGAGGCCCTAGGCGATGTCAGGCCACTTTCGCCCGATTGCGCGCTATAACGACGCTCGCGCGCGCGACGCTGCTCGTCCCGGCGCATTCGCTGACGCTTGATGGCCAGCGCCGAGTGCAATCCAACCGCGTGCATCCTGCAACACCGGAAAGACAACCCTTTGGCTCAGTCAATCCCGCTAGTCAATTTCCTTCGGCGAATTTCTACTCCCGCGAGCCTGTCTCCGTTGCCGCATTGTCATCGCGAGATCGTTTCTTTTTATTTTCTGACAATTTGTTGTCATTGACAAGCACATGCCACCCGGCCGGTGGTGATATACTCGATCTCGCGATGTCGCGATCAATCGAAAAGCCAGAAGGAAAGAAATGCCAAATTATTCCGACCGTAAAATTACGTTATTGTGAAGCACGCGAAGTGTCGATAAAGTGGTCTACATGCCTGCTCGCAAACGAGCAATGTGGCTGAGCGATTGAATGAGCGCAATCGCGTATACATTATGACAATTAATAAATCGACATCACTACTGACAGCAAACGGGCTGAAGGAAAACTCGTGCTGATGATTTTAAGATATTATACTACTACCTCTATTATGCAATCTCATTTAGCTTTCGATTAGTCCTCATTTTATTCTAGCAAATTCGTCTGCATCTCAACACTGACTAATTGGCTACTTCTAAATTCATCTAAAGGCCTACAGGATCTATTTACAGGGTTTTACAGGATGCACTGCGACGGAATCACGTGTGTCAAAGCGATCGACGACGGCGCGCGCATTCTCGGTTACCTGCAAAAGGATCTCCACTCGTCAGCACGCGTGTCTCGTTTATTTAAGGACCACCGACTGGCTCTCTCTCGCTATTTTGCGTATTGCTTTCATTTGATCAGAAAAAGCGCAAATCCATTTGTATACATATCGCAAGTTCCTCAATGATTACGTTTACGCGGATCGATTTATGCCAAGTTATAACATCAATGTTAGGGAACTGGCCAATTACAGTCATTCCATTTTTCAGAGGAACAATTATGATTGACCAATTTCATAATATCAACGTTATAACTTTGGCGTAAATTGAGCCGTGTAAACGTAATATAAATATCCAATAATACGCAGCTTGAATAGTAAATAGCTCTGTCAGAATAGAACACTCATAATTGCGCGCTCTTCTCTCTCTCTCCCCTTTCTCTCCCCCCTCCTCTCTTTCTCGAAAGTAGACGTGTCACAAAGATCGCTCCACAAAAATAATAATTTTTAAGTGATCAAATAGTGAATAAAAGTGATAAAAAGATACTCAAATTGTAGAGCTATGCTCCTGGAGTAATTCCGTTCGAGTAATTAATTTTCATCTAGGTAGACATTAAAAGTGGACACCAGTGCTGACGTGTGCTAATGTGTCCATCAGAGATTATTGCCACCGACGAGATACTATTAAAGACTGACATCCTTACGAGAGTTCGCGTCCTTGTTAATATTGAAATGATTAAGAGTAAAAAACTGATAATATTGTAATTTTACGATTAATTAGTTTTGTGGACATGTTTATCGGTGTATATGCATTTAAAACTCAATAATACTCGATTTTTACTGTAAAATTGTGTTAATGATAACATTTCAGTGTTATCGTCAAAGTTTGATTATCAACAGAGATGATAACCGCAGAGAAAAAATTGTAATTTTTCCGTAATATATAGGATATTATGGCTTTACAAGTATGCATATTTATTTATGGAACATTTATATAGTTAAAAATCATAAGCTTAATAATGTATTAACCAAATATTTATGTTAATAATAGCAAATTTATATCGCAATTTTCGATAATGTCAGCATTCTTCAATTACTTTCGGGCCCTTGGGGCCTTTTTCATAGCGCCAAAAATTTGCTCAGGGTTGATGGTCTTTAATAGTATCACGTCGGTCATTGCTGACAATCGTCGATAATTATTGATAGCTATCATGGACAATGAATATGCCGAATATCGATGCTCGGCATGTAAGAAAACAATAAAACGTCAGGTTGTGAGGCTTGTGCTAAACTTTTTTATCATCTTGGATGTGTGGTTAAACATACGATTTATGATAAGAATCAGGAATTAGTGGCATGCCCTGGCCCCTTTGAAAGATTTTTAATAGACAGTGATAAAGAAGATATGAAGAAGACACCGCAAGCAGGGAGCAGCAGAGAAAGGCTAGGATCCACAGGATCTACGAGTTCGCTCAGTATTGACATAAAAATTGATTGGAATTGTCAAAACTGTGAACGAAATAAAAGATGAAGTAATATATAAGAAGAAAATCAAACTAATGATTATGGAAGTAGTTCGAGAGGAAATAAGAAATTTTAAGCAAGATCTAGAAGATTTGAGAAAAATTATACAAGGAGGACATGAACCAACAGAAGTTGTACAAAGAAGCTATAGTGAAATAGTTAAAGATAAAAAGAAAGAAAATATAATAATTATCAAATCCAAAGTGCAGGAAAGTGAAGTTACCAAAAAATTGATAAAAGAAAAGATAGACATAAAACAAGTGGAAATGGCAATAACGAAAATGAAAAAAGAAAGCAACGGAGCAATCATCATGGGTTGCAAGACCGAAAAAGAATTGGAAAAGTTAAAGACTACGGTGCAAGCCAAGCTGGGCGAAAATTTTGAAGTTACAGAATCTCCACGAATAAAACCTAAAATAAAAGTCGTCAATATTGGTGAAGAAGAATACAAATTGGATGATGATGAACTAACAGCTACAATCAAAAGGCAAAACAAAATTGATGCAGAAAAGGAGGGATTTCATATGAGAATAGTGAAAAGAATAATTAAAGAGAAGAGAATGATAATAATCAAGATAGAAGAGTAAGAAATGAAGGTTCTGTGATAATTGAAACGGATGAAGAAACACGTGATTTGTTATTGAGAAAAAGAAACTAAATGTAGGGTGAAAAAAATGTCCTGTATTTAACCATATTAATATTAAGAGATGTTTCAAATGCTGGAGTTATTACCATATAGCGAAAAATTGTACACGGAATGAAACATGCCATAAATGTGCAAGAAATCATAAAGCGATGGAATGTACAGAAACTAAAAAAAGATGTGTTAATTGTATGTTTAAAAATCGGATATACAACCTGAAGATAAATGATGAACATGATGCCCTTAATACGGAATGTCCAACATTTAAGAGGGCATTGCAAGAGGAGAAGAAGAGAGCCGGCTGGGAGAATTCTAAATAGCAATCACAGAAGGAAGCGGAGCTAATATTATATACGAATGCACAAAGTTTGATAGCGCATAAGGACGAGATACAGCATCAGATTATGAAGAAAATTAATCCTGCGATCATAGCATTGTCGGAGATCAGGTTAATAGCTGAAATTAAAGATAGTGAAGTAAATGTATCAGGTTATAGCATGCTTACAATTAGATGATGCCGAAAGCAGGAGTACAGGAGGAGTAGCTCTTTATGTATGGGACGATATTAAGTATGATATAATATTGACGAGAAAATTAGTATCGAACTGTTGGTATATTGCGATAGAAGTAAAAGAGAAATTGCACAAAGGTGTGATAATGGTAGTGTATCATTTACCGAGTGCATCACACGATGATTTTATTACATTTATGGAGGATATAGTAGAAGAATTAATAATAGAAAAATATATAGTATTAGGTGATCTTAATATAGATTTTATGATAGAAGATTCGTTCTATACAAAGAAGTTGCAATCGATAATGTTGAGCTAAGAAATGAAATAGTATGTAGATAGGCCGACGAGAATTACGAAGAATAGTCAAACAATTATAGACTAGTTTTTGCTAATAATAAATTACGTGTGCAAGTAACTCATGAGCCTAAAATAAGACACATGCGTGGCTAAAAATTGAATGCAAGTAATTCTGAGAATAAATATAGAGAATTTTACGCGCTAGGAATTATAACGGATTTAATGTAGATGAATTTATTAAATTAGTAGGAAATAAGTTACAACGAAAAATCTCAATGTAAATGTAAAAGCCCAAAAATTTGAAGAGGGGGGTAACTTTAAAGTTTCAAATGGGACCCCCTGTAAAATGTCACATATTTGGATTCTACGGGGAAAAACAAATAAACTTTGTCTGAAACATTTCGAATCAGATTCCATATTCAAGACGATAGGACTTTTTTCTATCGTTTTCCATCAACTTTTTTTACCAGAGTATGGCAGAGAACGAGATGTAACGAGACGTAGTCATGATGTAGGGTAAGACAGAAAAAAATGTAGAAGACGCAGTTATGATTGGTTGGAAAAGTGTTTCGGAGACCGAGCAATGGATAGAAACACGGTGATAACTCGCAAACCTTCTGGTATCTTTGAAGATAATATCCGTAAAATACTAGAAATTAAATGCCTAAAACGGTCGAAACTGGATCTTTAATGCTTAAATAATTCAATGTGAATTCAACATGTATGTGAATTATATGTATAATGTATATATTATGTGAATATTATTAGACTATTGTATAAATTGCGCACCAATTCTCGCGCTGTATTAACGATCTCATTATCCGTATATTATATCATTGTTTTTTAATTTCGAGAGCCCGATTAGTATTTAAATTTTGAATTTAATTAACCATTGTATTATAACTTTTTAGGCTTCCACAGGTATTATCTTCAAAGATACCAGAAGGTTTGCCGTGTTTTCTTCCGAGGATAAAAAATTTGTTCATCGTGTGATTCCAAAAGGCACGTCGAGTCAAATACAGCCGTTGAACGTATATGACTTTCGATGTTGAAAGAACTTCGCGAGATTTTCAGGTCTAGTGCTGCTGAATGATTATGATATCAATCTCCACTTGAGAAACAATATGATCAAGCTGCAATCATTAATACATAACTAATTCTTCTCTTCGCCGTTCTATAATTTATTGAAATACACTGGTACGAATCCGGATATTTAGAGAATCAATCACCAGATTTTAAGAATCTTGTTGAATTTTGTTTCACATTACATTGCCCGTCGTGTGAAGAGATTTCATTTATATCATGTACGTGATGTACAAAAACTTTGTGTTTCAAACATTTTTTCACAGAATTTCATTATTGTAATGATTTTGTGTCATAAAAATAAGTGAATGATTTCTCATTATTTTCAAT